TTTATATAAGTCCTAAAAAGTGAAAACCCTGAAAACTATTTTTCCTTTGTATTTCCTATTTGTGCCTATAGAACATGTCCTCAAATCACATTGGGCATCTTGCAAGTATCTGGCAAGGCAGCTGCTAATTGCATTCACAGTGTCTGAATAGAAAATTGCCTCATCCTGCTGCATTAGTGAAGTAGAAATTTCCAGACACACAGTGCAGATAACTGCAGAATCCTCTTAACACAGATAAGCCGTATCAGCTAAACCTAAGCTGGAAAATATCTCACTCTTGTAACTATTATCTTTTTACATGTTATCTAACAGTAACATTTCCTGCATGACTGAAGATGATAAATAAATTCAAACGGATATGACTGTTTTGCCAGCTTTATTGAAATTTCTCATTTGTTACTCACCACTGTTATCCAGTTGCATAGCATGTGCTAATTTGGGTTTGATAAAACAATCATCTGTGATTTTGTAATGACATTATGTATCAGACATATGTACTCAAAAATATCAAGCCATCTTACTAGACTAGAAAATGGTTAATACAATACAATATATACTATTTTTACCCAGACCAAACTTCAGATTGTAAAATGACTGACTTTTTTTTCTAACAATGCTACATTCAACACCTTTGAATGAAAGGAAATGACAGAAGGTAATCTAGCTGAGATAGGATATGATATATTATGCAGATCAATAACAGTTTTAAAACTGCTTGTAAATATACTGTGTATATGTTTTGTGTATATCTGTAATTTTATTTTTATATGGAAGGATATAATTAAAAACCTGTAAAGTTTATATTGTATAGGTATATGCCATTGGTAATCAAACAATCAACTCAAAATCCTTTAAGGCAAGACTTATATATTTCCTGAAGTTTAAAATAAAAATATAACAAACCGCGTTTCTAAAACTATATACAAACAAGAAAGAATAACTTGACAGCCACACATATTAACATCAGCTATATTAACATGGGCATGTTTTCTGTAGTTCACTCATCCTTCAGTGCTGTTAGAAGCACTAGGATGGTGGATTTTCTTCACAAAGTTCTCAGATTTCCTACAGCTTTTTATTTACCCTCTTATATAACACACACACACACACACACACACATATACCACACACACACACACACACACACACACACACACGAAATCAGTGAATATAAAACCAAGACTGAAATTAGATAATCTTTGCTGGAAGTTGTTTTCTGAAGAGTGGATTCTGAAATAGTCAAAACTCTCACATGTAGAGAAAATAAGCCAGTACAGAAAACAGTCTGTGTACAGAGTTACAGGAGAATAAACTTCTGGCCAGTCTCTGTCCTGGGTACATAAGCTACTGTTAGTGCAACGGGGCTTAGAATTCATCTCAGATTAAAACATAAATTCTTCTCCCACTATTTATGCTACTCTACTAAATGTCATGTAGTGCCCTGACCATCAACATAATAAGTTGGTGAATTATATAGTCTGTAAGAAGATGAAATGTAGAAGAAATATTGGATCCGTTAAGCCAAAAGTGAACTATGTGAAAGGAGGCTATCATCCAGTCACATTACTAGGACTTCACTTGTAAGATGATACCTTCTAGACCTCACAGGGAAGTTACACTCATGAATATGGTTACATAAACAAGACTTGTCTGTTGATCACAGCAGTCAACACAGAAACATAGTCACACAATTTCACTTTATCCATACATGCATGAAGAGCTGTATGCAATCAGAGGGTGGTAAAAAAAAAAAAGGAAAATCATTTTTTCCAGGGCCAAGTTTCCCTAATAGGTTATTCAAGTGCAAGTGCACAGCCCTAGATACATGAACTTAAGAGCAACAACTACATAGACTCCATAGGTTATATATGACAATGGTAATTATAGAAGAACTCATGAATTCAAGGGATATGACCAGAGTATACTCATTTATTAAATCCTATAAGACTTTAAATTAAAACAATAAACAAATACAGTAAGTATAAGTTGTAGATCAAAAGAGGTCTATTTCTATTGTCTTTTGTAGAAACAAAACAAAGTAAACTTAAATAATATTACATATTCAAGTACTTCTTTTTAGGAAATAGGATATTTGTGGATAATGGTGGACTGTTAGAAATGCCCTCAATTTTTTTCTCATTGCAAGAACAAGAAACAAATCCTTCAGAACAAAGAAGCAAAATTAGTTGCTTCCAATAGGTCACTGTGAACATCAAAGCACATTCCAGACAATTCTAAGTAAGTCATCTCTCATTTGATTTCATTGGCTATTATTGAGAAGTGAACATCATGATACTAAACATTTCAATTGCCTTGGAACAAGTCTTTCCTTCAGTTCAATCTACCCAGCAGCCTTTTCTTTCCTTAGCCCTTGGAGTGAAGGGATGTAAGGTAATTTACCAGCAAAATCATCAGCCCTACTATGATATTTTGGAATGTATATAAGTTTAATTCCTGAATATTCCATAGAAAATGACCCTCATGAAGCACATTACTACTGTTGACTTCTATCTTTCCTACATGCTATTTGTATATTCATGGGTTTCTCTGTACCTCTAACACTCCATTACAATTGCATGATATCCTCCACCATACTTTATTTATCATCTACTATCATTAAATGAAAATTACTCTCTATACAGCCTTAATTAGAAATGATGCAAAAAAATCACTTTTCTCTATATAAACATTGGAAATTTTACTACAGAAATACCTTGTTATTCAATAACACCATGGCATGTGTATTAAAACACTAAGTCCATCTCTGTCTTACTAACTGATGACAATACAATCTTAAGAAAGATGATTTCTTTTTATTTGCTATTGAAAATATGCCGCACTGGTGGGTTTTTTGACACATCAATTCTTATCAGTTACATTTTCCCAGAGTGTCTCAGACAACTGTTGACAGAATGTCACATACTTGATACAAGTTGGTAGAAATAGTTTCCAGATATAAAGGTGAGTATTTTCAGTGAGTTATTTTAAATAAAGTTGAAGTTAGTTACTGATTATTCTTGAATACATTTATTTTTTACACAGAAAATATGAGGAAACAAAATTGCAGAATTGAGTCATTTGGGCTTAATTAACTGCACACACTGATTTATGAGTCAGTCATTTTTGTCATCTGGGAGAAAAGAAATAATAGAAGTGACATGGCTTCCAATAAACATACCATTTTCATGAACTGATACTAAATATAACAAAATAGCCCAAGTAGAGAATAGACAATCCTGGTACTAATTATGTCCCTTGGTGATAAATGGAGGTGCATTTGAGCTGATATTAGCTTAAAACGCATAACAGTGGAATATGCAGTTTTACCTTGTCAAATCATACAGGCTTGTCAGCTAGGGATACCGTATCATTCCTGTGGACAATGTGACATTAATATTTTCTCTTTGAAAAAACTGACTATTAAAAAGAGTTCATGAAACTCTTATCGTTTCTTAATTTATGTCAAGTGTTGTTTAAACAAATGAGCAGATTTTAATATTGGATTGTCTTAGATACATAGACTTATGGTTTAAATGAGAATGACTCTATATCACTGCCATAGGCTCATATATTTAAAATTTGGTCCTTAGTTGGCAAAACTCTTTTGGAATTATTAGGAAGTATATGTGGCCTTGTTGGTCGAGGCTTGTCTGGGGGTGACCTTTGATGTTTCAAAAGGCTTGAGGTATTCTCAGTGTGCTCTCTGAGATGTAAACGTACAGCTACTGTCCTCTACCAGGCCTGCCTGTCCGTTGTCATACTCCCTGCCATGATGGTGAAGAACTCCCTATTTCTTTGGAAACAAACAAACAAACAAACAAAACACCTTTCTTTCATTGAGTTGCTGTGGTCATCGTGTTTTCTCACAGCAATAGAAAAGTAACTAAAATACATGGAAATATTCATACAAAACAAGAGCATCTGAATAATATTTAACCAAAACTTGGGCTACCTAGAAGTGTATCAAAATGTCTATGGTATCAAGCACTAAGGCATGGGGAGCTTTTAATATTCCGCAGAAGGATTTAACTCTACAAAATCTCACATTGACTCTGCTTTTTTGTTTTTTTTTTAATTTAAAGAAAAAATGTATTGAAGATCTTTGAAACAACTACTATAAAATTGACTTGTCCATACAACTGTAGTTACATGATGCATTGCATCTATTATGTTAAAATGTGCATTAGACACAAAACAAAAACCATGAAACAAGCCACCATTCTTTAACAATTAAGCAAAGATAAAATGCCAAAGGAACAACATGGATGACTTGCAAAGGATGGGCTCTTTAAACACCATTAAAAAAAAGAGCACAGATGGATGAGTGTTCAGTTATATACACTGAAGAGGACCTTTAGCACTAGGAATCAGAGCGTTTTGTCATAGAGCATTAACACATATTATAAAAGTGCATAGTGTCGAAGGAACAGAACCACCAGCATTCAAAAGCAGCTTTGTCAACTAGGCAATGAAACACTCTACAGCATGACTCTCTCTATTTTCCATCACTGAATACAGTGGTAGAAACTTTGAAATGAAAAGAAAGAAGAAAAGGAGAACTGATTCCTTTTATTTTCTTTGTTTAAAATCAAACGGAAAACAAACATCAATTTTGTTATACACTAATGGTCTTCAAATTACATCACTTGTACAAGAGAAGAACTAAGAACCAAACTATTTACACTACATAATCACTGTCAACGAACAAAGTTGCAGAATTCTTTGCAGGAAATCATGTAGATAGAAGGCTCAATCATTAAAGTCTAGGATCACAATCACATTTACTGTGTTAACTGAAAAATTATTCACATTTATCATTGAAGTATATCCCTAAGGTGGACACCCCATTAATGAATCTGGTAGCATAACTCCTAAGTAAATGTTGAACTAAAATGTTTGACACATACAATATATTACCAGTTTGGCATAGACACATAAATCAAGGTATGCCTAGGTGACCATAATATGCAACAAGACCCCCTGAAAACAAAAGAAATTACCTTTCACGATGAGACTGCCACTACTTTTCCCATTGCCAAACTGATTTGAGGCTAAACAGGTATAAGATCCAGCATCTGACATGGTCACATTGCTTATCTTAAGGCTACCATCCTCCAAGAGAAATACTCTAAAAAGAAAGCATATAACAGAAGGCTATTTGATATGAATAAATCATAAATATTTTCGATAATACTTAAATGACAAATGCATAAGAAATTCATTTACTATTATTATGTTCTTAGTTTGAAACCATCTTAAATCTAAACAAGATAAAAACATAAGATTTTGTGTTGACATAGAATATTATGCTATCACGTGAATTATTACTGTTTATTTCAGTGCATATTAGAAATCAAATAATTGAATGTCTGATATTCTAACATTCAATGGATAGATGAATAAGAAAAGTATTATTTGTTATACATTTGGAATAGTCAACTCACTTCTGCAAATTGAACATGGGTTTAAAAGAACAGAGTTCGCCTGGCAGTGGTGGCACACACCTTCAATCCCAGCACTCGGGAGGCAGAGGCAGGAGGATCTCTGTGAGTTCGAGGCTGGGCTGGACCAACAGCCTCCAAAACAATACAGAGAAACCCTGTCTCATAAAAACCCCCCAAAAAAAATACAAAAATAAAAGAACAGAGGCCAGCCTTCACATTTTCATCAGTGCTTTCATGAAGCAAGTTTTACATAGCCTTTTAAATGACCATACAAGAACTTGTGAACCATGAAAGTATTTGCCTCTGTTAGACAGTGGCACGGACCATCTGGATAGTTCTGTGTGCAAAGGATGTGCTTATTATATAGCACACCATAGCAAAAAGTAACAGAATAAATATAAACATGAATTGTTTATGTACCACCTGGAATTAAATAATCTTATACTATATAGTACACAAAAGAGAAATAGCTCATATATTCCAGTCTTTATAGAATTTCCCATAATTTTAGCATAAACAGAGAAAACCCAAGTATGTTCTCTCTTACTTCAACAAAATATTTTATGAAAGAGGAAAAATGGGAACAAATAAATCATCTTCCCAAATTTAGGTTTCCATTTCTAGGACATACAATTTTACTTAGCAATATTTCAAAAACACAGTTTTTAAAATACTGATTGGTCTTCTGAATTCTAGGAAACATAGTGGCAACCAACTAACATTAATGACCGCAGCTGTCCAAGGAAGATAGGCAAGCCTATTTGTATGCAGGTCATACCTATTAACAATAACAAAACGTTATTTGTAGAAGTGCAAACAGATCATTGTTTTTAATATGTGTATAACACCAAATGGAGCTAATATAATTAATATTAATTACCCAATTTGAACCATAGTGGATATCAGCCAAGTAGAATTTATATGAAACCATTGCCTGATGCTGGGTTTACTACTGAGGAAGGATTCCAGCTTCCTGTTAGTGAGAAGAATAGGATTTAGAATGCTCTAGTCCATGGAATTCATGACATTACAGTATTCTCTCAGAGCAGATGTGCATTGTTGTTCTGATTTCAGAAGAATTTGGCTTAATAAATCCCGATTCAACTTAAGATTTACAAATACTACATCATCAATATAGTATCAAAGGCATGCTAGCAAGTCTTTACCTGATATAATGGGAGAAGGTCAAAGTAAGAAACAATACTGGCCAGGCATTGGTGGCACATGTCTTTAATCCCAGCACTCAGGAGGCAGTGGTAGGTGGATCTCTGTGAGTTCAAGGCCAGCCTGATCTACAGAGTGAGTTTGAGGACAGCCTCCAAAGCAATACAGAGAAACCCTGTCTTGAAAAGCCAAAAAGAGAAAAGGGAAACAATGCTGTGCATTCTCCACTTTTATTCTTCAGAGACTACTAAAAACTACTCCTGCACCTAAAATCAATATTGCTTAAAAGAAAAGCAAAAACAAAAAATATTTTATGTGATTTAAAACATCATGTTGCTGCTACATAACAATAACTAAACATGTCTCAAATAAAACAAGGAAAAAAAAAAGAGTACAGCCAACCACAATCGAGCTGCAGTGATTAATTGATGTTTTCAAATAAGGCAAAAGGCACACTATGAATTGATGAAATATTTACTTCACAACTTGGCAACAGAAAAATTGATATTTTACTAAGCTTATTTTAGGATAAGATAGATAAGATAGGATAACAAATATATGTTATCAGGAGGTTTCATTGTGGCATAGGAGCAAAGGATTTTAATGTATTTTACTTATACTACACTTCGGCTTCCTTAGCATTTAAGGAACAAAGTGCAGGCATGATACATATAAATTTACCTGTCAAAAAACAGGAAGAACATTCTATTAATATAAATTAGAAATTTGAATGAATAGTCAGCAAAGAAAGTACGATTACAAAGAAGAAAAAATAATTATAATTCGACCATATGCTTTTCAATATCAAGCTTAATATTCATATAACACAGATCATGTAAGTTATTGTATAGATATATGAACATCATGGAATTATGGAAAGGATTACAATTCAAAAAAGTTTACATAGGCAAGTAAGAACAAAGAAATGTTAGAAAAGGTTTTTCTTCTAGGATTATTAATTCAATGTCTCTGCATCATTTGTTCGTGCCCCATGTTGGCTGACATTTTGTTGTTGGAGTATCTCTTGTCCCGCCAAGTCCTTCCCGTCTGATTTCCTACCTTTTCCAGAATTCTCCTTGTCTCCTTGTACCGCTTATCTTCCTGCCTGGCCAGTTAGTGTTTTATTCATCAACCAATAAGAGAAACATATATAAAGGATATCCCCCATCACCAATGCTTGCTAAACACTCATGTTTGAAGCAACATTTTTAGTGTTATAATACTGATATAAGAAATAAATAATGTTAAATACTGAGGGTAAGCTCAGTGGTGATAGTGCATGCCTTTAATTCTAGCACTTAAGAGACAAAAGGCAGGTGTACCAGAGTTCAAAGCCAGCATGGTCTACAAAGTGAGTTATAGGACATTCAGATATTACAGAGAAATATTGTCTTCAAATTCAAAAGAAAACAAACAAAAAAAACAAAAACAAAAAATGCCCAATTTGCTTGGCAGTGATAGTGCATGCAGCTAATCCCAGCACTCAGGAGGCAAAAGCAGGTTTATCTCTGTGAGTTTAAGGCCAGCCCTGTCTATAGAAAGAGTTCCAGGACAGCCAGAGCTACTTGGAGAAACCCAATATTGAAAAACTAAAATAAATAAACTAAGAATATCAATGATATTAAGAATTATTTGCCAAATTTTGAAGGAATTATGAGCTTTTAAGAGTAAATGATTCATCACAGCACATCCAATGAGTATGTAGAACGCATATTCTCAAAACAAGTCCTGACATTCTGGTGTTATCAAGTCTACCTTGGCAGTCTAGAATATTTCTAGAGAGAATAAACATGTAAAAATTGTGACCACTCAGTTACATGTAACCAAAATATCACCTATATATTATTCTTTAGAACAGCAGACATTTATTTTACTAAATTCTTTCGTTTCCAGTTTCCAAAACACAGTTTACAAAGGATAGAATTACTAACAGGAGGCTTAACTGGATGCAAATTAATATGTGTATAATTTTATTTATGTAGAATGAGCTTTAATGGAAGATTTCCTCAATTTGACCTTCAGATAGTCCAGTCATTCTCTGTAATGTGGCAGAAGAGGTAGTATGTTCATATGTACAGGTTTGCAGCTTCTTAGCTATCCTAATACTGCTTTCACCCCAAGGAGTGGGGTTTTGGAGTCAAGATCTCTCACTAAACTTGAGATTTGATGTGTCAATTATGTTGGCTTCCCAGTGAGCCCCCAAGATCATCTTGTCTCTGCCTCACTTCTGATTGGATTACATGAACACAAGATATTACATATTTTTCCCCTATGGAGTCTGAGGACAGAACTCAAACAAGGTCCTTATACTTGCACAGAAAACACTTTGCTTACTGATCTCTCCTCCAGCTCCAGCATTCCACCATTCTTATCATCATCTTTCCATTATGGGAAAGCTTTGAATGTTGATTTACTAACAGCACAGGAGACAGCTCTGATGGCCATGCTAAGTAGGCGAAGGACCATTTTTCTGTTGTGTTGTTATGGTACCATCAGTATGGTAATAAGCATGGACTTGGGGTAAACTGGAATATCATTTAAGACCCTCGTTTCCACATCTTTGAGTGTATGTGTGTGTGTGTGTGAGAGAGAGAGAGAGAATGCTTTTCAGTCATAATACAGGAAACTCCATCACAAGTGGTGAAATTGGTGGGCTTGTTAAAAAGGATGCCTGATATGGGGTGTCCTTCTGTGTGCTGCCAATATGAATTGCTTGTATTGGTTGATGAATAAAGCTGTTTTGACAAATGACCAGGGAAAATACAACGAGGTGGGAAATCTAAGGAGAGTTATGGAAAGAAAGAAGGTAGAGTCAGGGAAATGCCATGTAACTGCCAAAGGATTCATACCAGAGCATTGCTGGTAAAACACAACCTTGTAGAAATACATAGATATTTATCAGAGAGAGCTAACAAGTCATATGTCTGAGCCTTTAACTTTCAAATATTACAATTGATATATTAACATGTGAGTGATTATTTCATAAGAGGCTGTGAGGCTCAGCAGGCAGGCAAGATGAGGCCAATCGGACTGGATGAGACAAAAAAAAATTCCAAATATGGATGCCAGGTGTTGAAAGAAGTTTAATGCAAATAAGATGATCCCAGCAGCATGTTTACACTGCTTACTCTCCTCCCTGATTTCTTGATATTTGTCTGGGTTTAGCAAGTTAATGGAGTTGTTATGAAAATTAACTTTATCACATGCTAGGTATTCATCCCATTCTAATTCAGTTTAATGTTCATATTATTATTTTGGCCTTTACTTTGTGCTATAGTTAAAATTACTATGTCAGATACGTCTTTTGGGTGTGGCAGGTGTTTGGATCCAGTGGTGTGCTTGATGTCTTTAATCACCAATGTTTATCTGTTCGTGATTTGCTTTTGGTGTTACTAAGTTCTCATACTTGACTTGTGTCTCTGTGCTTCAGGAAAATCACTATTCCCTCATGCTATGATCTGCAGAATTATGCAGTGAGATTGCAATTGACAAGTCATGGAGATAACTCAACAGGATCATT